GGTCTGGGTTCCAGATTCAGCTCCACCACCGACTGGCCACGTGGACGTCTAACTTCTCAAAGCCTTGGCTTCCTCAACCTTCAGCTTCCTCAGCTGCCACAACGGACAGCAAGGAGCCGCTGCCTCACAATACTGTCGTGAGGCACAAGCAAGAACCTGTGAAAGTACCTCGCTCAGTGCCTGGCACAGTCAGTGCTCAGTCAGTATCCACTCCTCTCCCTCAGAAGCTTTCCCCTAACACGGGTGACGCTGGTCAACGGAACCAACGGAGGTGCTCAGGAGGTAACAGAAACTTGGCCATTACACTCGGAAAAAGATTAATAAGCACAGGCTCTTTAGAGATGGATGAGGTCACTCAAGACTAAGCTTCCCTGGTGGGCTTCCAGGGCAGGGTCCCAGTCCTACTTCCTGTTTCCCTGCTGGCTAACCCAGCTGCTAACCCAGCTGCTAGCGAACCCAGCTGCCAAACTCAACTGTGGAAAATAAATTAGCATCGGGCCGGGAGTATAACCTACTCCTACTCACTCATTCTCAAACCCCTCCCCAAATATTACCTAATAGAAATGCCTTTTGAGGAAAAACTTACCAATATAAAAGAGTTTTGGAGGACACTGTCTATAATGAAAGCGATCGTCCTGAATGAGAACAAGGCAACAAGCCATGAAGACTCCCAGGAGGGCCCGAGAAGCTGCGCCCACCCACCAGGCTCACACACACTCTGACCCAACAGGTGAGAGCCCAGCCTGTCAGGAGAAAATGAGGCTTCTGCACAGTCTTCCAGATCGATGAGAGAACCAGTCTACTGACAGGCCCAGCCCATCCTGCTCGTTGCCCCTCTCCTGTTTAATGGCAAGTTTTCAACGTCAATATAAAACCTCTACACGTTTGTCCTCTTGCAGAACTCAGGGCTCTGCTACAACCTCTCGGGTGACTTGGATCTTAACGAATATGCCAAGTGTCCTTTCCTGGTCAGCAAGCTCTGCTCAGGATGAGAAATGCAATTAGGTTGCACCTTCTGAAGAGAAAGGATATGAAACTTCAGAAGGGAAGAGGGCACCTTCAGGCTTACAAAATGGTCCATGCCACACTGAAGGCAGGATTATTTAGGGACCCATGTGCTTAAGTTCAGAAATTATAGTGCCCTGTCCATCTGCGCTAAAACAAGCCCCCATCCACTGCACCAAATTCTCACGTCCACGCCACATGGCTGCAGTGAGGCCTGCATCCTTCTCTCTTGGAACAGGGAGATAAGATACTTTGGTCTCCCCAGCAAGTCTGCTAATCGCTACTGTAAGAGGAATAGCCATGATACGCAAGGCTGACCACAGCTGGCTTTCCTGGGATCCAAGACAAGTCCTCAGGTTGGTGGGACAAGGGAAAGTCGAGAAATGCAGCAGGGGCTTCTACAGTGGTCTCTGCTCTGTATGGTGTCCCCGTCTGGTCACATCACATGTGCAGGGAAAGGCAGGCACCTGCTGAGACAACGTCCGTCTCCTCATTACAGATCTCGTTAACTGCAGGGATCCAGGCACAGAGCTCCTCAGCGTGGCCTCCGCTGCTATCCACTGTAAGTCCTGCTTCTCCGCAGCGCACTTCATAAGCCAGGCCCGCCCTGGCATTCCACGTGAGTCTCCTCTCCATGGGCCACTAAACACATTTCCCCTCCAGGACACCTGAGTTGACTATCACAACCCTGATGGTTGTGGATAATCTGGACAGCCCTCTGACTTGCAGAAAACGATGCTACGATAGTCACCAAGGTCTGGAGAGTAAAGCCTCTTAGCAAGTCATAAGAAAAAAACTAAACAAACGAGAATCCTGCAGAAGCCGACAGCAATACTCTAGTCAGAAGGCAGAGCAAGCAGGCACTGATACATGGTGGGTCTGTGGGAGTTGTCACATGTGTGTCCTCCACAAAGCCCTAACAGTTAACAGAAGGGTGAAGGTGCTGAGCGGGGCTGACCTGGGTTTGTAACTTCCCCCATGGGATCCTATCTTTGGCAGCTTCCTGCCATGAGTGAGAGGGAAGAAAGCGCTCACGAGGCAGAACCACCCAGTGCTGGGTGGCTAGGAGATGACCGGAACAGAAACGGAGCGAGGTTCACACCGTCTAGAGAGGGGGAGGCAAACCAGGGTACTCCAGTCACAGCTGCATCTCCACCAGGACAGCGGAGCAGAGCTCACGGAGGAGGCCACGCACACAAGGCTGGAAGCATACTTCCTCGCTTACCCACCTCGGTTCTGTTTTTCCACTTTATCGTGGAAAGTCGCAAGCACAGACACAAGTTGAGAAGAACAGTCGATGAACACTCAGATTGAACGTTTGTTAATGTTTTGCTCTATCTGCTCCGTCCCTCTGTGGTATACACACTCACACGGACACCCATACACGCACATTTTTTTCTGGACTGTTTGAAAATGAGTCGCAGATGTCTTGACGCTTTGCCCCTAAATACCTCAGCATACAACTCCTAAAAATAAGGACACTTTCCTACAAAACCACAATAAAATTAACACACCCAAGAAAACTGACAATAATTCCCTTATATCCGAAGCCTAGTCTACACTCAAATTTCCCCACTCTGCCCCATTTTTTATAGCTGTTTTCTTAAAAACATGACTCAATCAAGGCTCATGCATTGCATTTGATTATGTGTCCTTAGTTTCTTTTAGTCAAAAATAGTCTCTCCACCCCTAACCGATCCCGCCCTGCTCGCATTTTCCCTTGACGTGGACATGCTGAAGATACCAGGCCAGTTGTCTCACAGAACACAGATCTGGATTTGTCTACTTCCTCATGGTGACATTTGAACTTCTTCTCTATCCTCTGTTTTATAGAAACTGGTGGTTAAATCTAAAGGCTAGTTTAGATTCGGCTTAAACATTATCGGTGAGAATCCTTTGTAGGTGATGCTGTGTAATTCATCACATTTGGGAGGAATATGACTGGGCTACATCTCAGAATCAGAATAATTTTACACATACACATATATACATATACATGTTTATACATATATGCATTCATGTGTGCGTGTATACCGAGAGAGACAGAGGGACAGGCAGACAGAACACGCCCAGGCTCCTCTCTGGTCCTAAAGAATCTGAACTTTGGTGAGGAAGTGGGTAGCAGGCTGGGCTAGGCAGGACTCTGTATTTTTGAAGAGCTCCTTGGGTGGGTTCTGATGCCACAGTTGAGAAGTCCTGTTC